ACTGGCAACATACAAAATGGGTTTGTGGAGAGATGTGGTTTGGGGGGGGCCCAGCGGCTGGGGCCTGCACGGGGACTGTTTGCTGACCAAAGTGCTGGCGCCGTGCAAAAGTCACCCAAAGTGAAAACGGCTCAGACCAGTTTCTCTGCCTCCCTTTGTCGGCGTTTGGTGGCCACATGGCTAACACCCTGTGGACAGAGTGAAGCAGTGTGGGTGAGCATGCCGCAGGGCAGTGTTGTGGGAAGGCAGAGCCGATCCCTGCGCTTCTTGGGACTCCCTCGTCTGACCAAAGTGCTGGCGCCGTGCAAAAGTCACCCAAAGTGAAAACGGCTCAGACCAGTTTCTCTGCCTCCCTTTGTCGGCGTTTGGTGGCCACATGGCTAACACCCTGTGGACAGAGTGAAGCAGTGTGGGTGAGCATGCCGCAGGGCAGTGTTGTGGGAAGGCAGAGCCGATCCCTGCGCTTCTTGGGACTCCCTCGTAGCTTTGTGCGCTCTCCGTGCTAAAGAATGTCAAAGCAGCACAGCTGTATCTCCGTCCCTTCCCCCAGCCTGCTGCTGGGTTCCTAGTCCGGTGGAACAGGAGCAGTTCAATGGTTTGTTCTTTGTTTGTTCCCCAAACGGAGCAGCTCCCTCAGTTGTCAGACACTTCCAGGAGCTTTGAAAGGGGAGGGGCGCAGGCCTGCAGGGCAGCAGAGATCACAGGACACTGAGCACAGCCCTCAGGGCAGGCCTTGGGGGATACTGGTGGAAGCCCATTCTCTTGACAAAACAAAGAGCAGAGTTCACCCTGGCTCTCTGTCACCAATAAAGGGAAGGGAAAAGACAAAAGTCGCTTGCCGGGCTGGATGTTTTTTATCCCCAAAACTGGGTGTTTTCCCCCAGCGAAAGTAGTTTGTATTGTAGTGTAAACGCTCTCACTGTTTAGTCACCCTGCCCGTCTCGGGGGTGCATCCCGCTGTTCATCATCGGGCGCCCCGGACACTCTGTGACGTCATCATCGGGCGCCTCGGCCACCCTGACGTCATCATCGGGCGCCCCGGACACTCTGTGACGTCATCATCGGGCGCCTCGGCCACCCTGACGTCATCATCGGGCGCCCCGGACACTCTGTGACGTCATCATCGGGCGCCTCGGCCACCCTGACGTCATCATCGGGCGCCCCGGACACTCTGTGACGTCATCATCGGGCGCCTCGGCCACCCTGACGTCATCATCGGGCGCCCCGGACACTCTGTGACGTCATCATCGGGCGCCTCGGCCACCCTGACGTCATCATCGGGCGCCCCGGACACTCTGTGACGTCATCATCGGGCGCCTCGGCCACCCTGACGTCATCATCGGGCGCCCCGGACACTCTGTGACGTCATCATCGGGCGCCTCGGCCACCCTGACGTCATCATCGGGCGCCCCGGACACTCTGTGACGTCATCATCGGGCGCCTCGGCCACCCTGACGTCATCATCGGGCGCCCCGGACACTCTGTGACGTCATCATCGGGCACCCCTCGGCCACCCTGACGTCATCATCGGGCGCCCCGGACACTCTGTGACGTCATCATCGGACACTCCAGACACTCTGTGACGTCATCATCGGGCGCCTCGGCCACCCTGACGTCATCATCGGGCGCCCCGGACACTCTGTGACGTCATCATCGGGTGCCTGGGGTGCCCTGTTGAAGGCGGTGCCCTAGGCAGCAGCTGAGTCTGCCTATAGTCACAGGCCGCCCCTGAAGACAGAGAGGTTGCTGCCTTAGCCCCCCCACTGCTCACCTGATCCCCCTGCAGCAAGGAGTCCCAGGGCCCGACATTCCACCGCCCAGTCCTGGGGCACGACCAGCGTTCCCTGTACGCTGAGTGCTTGGGTGTCTGCCCAGGACAGATTTAAATGCCGCCCAGCTCATCAGCAGTGTGCTCCCAGCATGCACACCTGGTTTCTACTGGTGGTGCACACCTGCACATGCCTCTGTGCACACAGAAACATTTATTCCGCACGCAGATGGAAAAAAATGAGAGGGAACATTGGTCACGACCCGTAGTTTGAAAGCCGCTGGGGTACCGAGACTCCCCCCTCCCTTCTTAAAGGGAAAGGACCCAGCTTTTAAAAAACACGAGGAGGATGCTGGGTCCGTCCCTCTCTAAATACGTCGCTTCATTTCTCCTCCTCATCAAAGTATTAAAAAGAAACCAGAGCCCGATTTCATGCAATAAATTTGGCACAATGGAGAGAAAATGATCCGGCTCTGAGGATCTTGCCAGCATCTCCATATAGGACACTCCCCAGCCGGGTGTTTGCTCTCCACGGGTAGCAAAATATCCTGCTTTCACGGAGCCCCTTGGGCCAGGGCTGACGAGGGAAAGATGCGCCCCCACCCCCAGCTGCTTTGGCTAGGCACCAGGTAAGGCAACCAGGCCACTGCTGGAGAAGGCAGCTGCACCTCTGATTGGCCCAAGCGATCCAGGCACTAGCACGGTTATCTCCCGCTCGCTTCCGCAAGATGGGCAGAGCCACGTCAAATATTCCTCGCACCCCGTTAGGCCCAACGCCCCCAAGGAATCCTAGCACCCCGCTCCCAGCCAGGTGAGGGGGCTCTGGTTTGGGGTCTCTTACAAACAGGCGACATGTTTGTGAGCCGGGGGGACGCTTTCAGACGTGAGGCCAAATTGTAATTTTGTTTCCAAATGATTCTGAAATTTGCACTTTAAAAAAACAAGAAGAAGTGAGTCCAGGTAAAGCTAAGCAGCCTCGTGTGGATTTGACGAAGAGCCTTTCCTGGTGCAAGGCACATGGGTCCAGACCAAACCCAACCGGCCTGATTCTTTTGCTTAGACCAGTTTCATACGGGGGTCCCCTTGTAGGCTCCTGTGGAGTTATTCCTGAGCTCCACCAGCGAGGGCAAGGATAGAGGGGTTGAAAGAAGACCCTGATTTTTGACAAGGAGGGGAATTAAACAGTGGAGGGCTGGTTTCTTCACACAAATGAGGGTTGGAAGGGACCAGGAGAGATCAACTCGTCCAGCCCCCTGCAGTGAAGCAAGACCAAGTAAACTTGGACCAGAG